AGCCTGGGAACTCCTGGAGGGAGGTGTGCGTGGACAAAGAGCTGTAAGCAGGCAGGAGGAAGCCGGAGAACAAACGCATAAGGGATGGAACAGGACCACGGGGCATGGGAGGGGAGCCTGCCGAAGTGGGGAGGGGGCACTGCCCGGATGTGGCCCTGAGCCGCGCCTGAGCCTTGACGTCCACCCTAGCCCCTCATCCATGTGTCTGTCAGACCCTTGGTCCATGGCCCAACCGGGGCCTGCACCTTGCACCCAACGGAAGACGGTGCTGCTGCTTCTCTCCTCTGCGCTTCGTGCCATGTTCTCACATAGATGTTTAATGAGATTGTTTCTCTACCCTTGAGATGAGGGCGACAGAGAAGTGGCACTGATAGGGGATGGGCAGGCAGCTAGCTTAGGATCTGCTGAGCTGCGGGTAGCTGCAAACCACCTCCCCGCCTCCCCTGCCCGCCCCGCCCCCACCCGCTCCGTGTGGAATTCTGCTCTTCTACTTGTCAATCAGTTGCTGCCTTTCCCGGATGGATTCGCTCCACCCAGGATCTGGGGGGAAAATACACACACCCCTCAACAGCACTAAAGTTACAGCGTCATCACAGGACACTTGCTGTGTCCCTCCCACCACGAAGGAAGCAGCAGACTGACAGCTGTCAGTCAAAGGCTATAGGGAGGCACCTCCAATGGCTTGGAACACAGAGAGTAGGGGGCCCCTGGAACATCCCATCCAAGCCAGTAACCAACGTCCATTCAAACTGGCTGGCTTGGGCAGAGACATGCGGCCTTGGCTTCCATGGAGAAGGTGGCTCTCAGACCTTAACCCTGACCGCAGCCTGCCAGGGGCGTGAATCCATGAATCCAAAGGGGGGCTGGCCAGTTTGAGACCATGGTTCATAGCAGCTACTGAACTCTGTGCTGAGAGGAGCTTGGGCCGGTGACCACTGTGCTGCTGTCCCCTCGGCAAGACCATCTATGGAAGAGACGGGGCCAGGCTGCGCGCGCGCACACACACACACACACACACACACCCGTGCTCTCCAGCCCGGCACAATCAGACCAGACCCTGCAGGTGGGGCCCGAGCAGCAGTGTTTCTATAGCTCCCCCGACCCCTGGTGATTCTAAGGTGCAGCCAGCTGGGAGAATCTTCGTCAGTGAGGTCCCCCAGCCCTGAGGGACCCCATGTGTCCCCCCCAGGACTGTATCAGCCCAGTCGCTACAGTGGCACGCGGTCTGCATGTTGGTCTGAAGCTTGAGCCCTGTGCAGGCTCCATGTACTGGCTGATGCAGGCCAGCAAGACCGACGGCCCCAGCTTGGGTGGACCCACAGAGATGGCCTGCTGCTTCCGGGCGCCTCTTAGGTGGGGACACACCCAACGGCACGTATGTCACTGGCCATGAAAACTCAAGCCCAACTTTGCTGCCCCTATGTTTTACAATGCTAAGTTAATATTTAAAAACAAAACAACAGCAAAAAACCCCGCAGACCAGCAGGGTGGCTGCCCACAGATTTCTGGGGACTGCAGCAACACCTGTTTACCTACTCGCTGCTTTAACCTTTCCCATTCATGGCGTGGGCACAGCGGATCGTCTCCCCGTGCCTTCTTCCTAGCACAGCTCCACTGGCCGCACCTCTCCTCATCCCCCCAGAAGACCCAGACCTCGGGAAGTCAGCCCCACCATCAGCTGGGGCTCGCACAGGCATGAGTCCAATCCCACACTCTTGCCTGTGTGCGCTCCAGGAAGGGCCAGTGGCCTCATTCTCAGCGAGACATGAGCTTGGTTTTCTTGTAAGCTTTTGATTAAGGTCTGCAACACACACAGAAATGCACACACACGGCACACACAGCCTAGTGACACTCACTGCCAAGGGACCTGTACGACCAGCACCCAGACCAACAAGCACAAGGCTGCTAGGACCCAGAAGCCACCTTCTGCCCCCTTCCGGTTCCTGTCCCGTAAGGCATAACCACACCCTGACTTTTCACCGTGTCCAGTTGTTTTGCCTGCTCGGTATGTGTGACAGAAATGGAATCAAGTGGTTGTACTCGGGTGCGAGAAGCACCTTGCTACGTGTAGTTGTTAAGTTATTCACTGTATTGCTACATGATATCTCATCGTGTACCAGGTCAATTGCATCGATACATTCTACCATTGCTGCGTATGTGGCGAGCTTGGGGCTTCCGCATCTCACAACTCCCGCAGTCATGAATATTGTAGCCCCCGTCTCTTGATGGACACACGCGCGCATCTCTGTAGGGTGAGCGCCCGAGGGGAGGTGCTGGCCATGGCTCCTCACCAGGTAGCGCTCCAGGCTTTCCAGCCCACCTCCTGCAGGGTGCGAGGGTTCCACACCTGTCTTTCTCCTGGCTAATCTTTCGACGAGGGTGGAGAGGAGACTTGGGAGATGTCAAGCTATTCCTTTGCTTGTAGAGAGAACCGCAGAAAGCCACAGTTCTCCCCATCAAGCGGGAGAGAAGCTAAGCAAGGGCCCGCATGGGTATCAGCACCCAGCTGGGGCCAGGTGCTACTGAGCTAAGCAGGGAGAACTGGGTGATGTCATGAAGCTGCTGGGCCAACGACCCAGTCCATCACCGTGTTATGCTGCGGTGTTTTTTGTCTGTGGCTGGGAGTACCCTTAGTGTCACCCTCAGGAGGCACCTTGATCGTAGGACACTCGGGTGAGGATGACAGCTGCGGGCTTCATTTGTCTGATGTGGAAACGCATCGTCCGCTGAAATTCAGATTCCCCGGGGCTGGGAGTCAGCACAGGGTGGAGTGGAGACGGGAGCCCGGGATCGCAGCTCCCCAGCCGGCTGCTTTCCCACGCCCCGTCCCCAGCACACGGTGCAGCTGCCGTCTCTTCCTCTGTGGATATGACCGCGCGTCCTTTGCCCCGGGCTGCAGCTTTCCGGGACGCTGGGTGAGGCAGCCCCCCCCCCCCAGCTGTGCTGGCTAACTGAGGCGCCAAGCACCTTTTGACAATGGCGCAAGGGCAGCTGGGCTCCTTGCCTCTCCCTATTATAAGAACACTGTCAACCGTGTGAGGCGAGTCCCCAGCCCTGCAGGGAAGAGCGAGCTGGGGCATTTTAGTCACAAGTCTCAATGAGGAAGTGACACGGTGAGAGAGCAGAGGCTCGCCGGACACAGGCGCTGTAGCTGTCCGCTCCCCAACTTAGAGACTCTCTCTCACTTCCTTTTGTGAAGGTGCAACCCACGGACAAGGAGGCGCCATGGAGCATTTGAAGATGGTTCAGAACCAGAACGGGCCCTTCCTGTAAAACACGGTGACTCAGCCTGGCTGTGAACACTGCGGCCACCTCGCTCTCACCCCCAGGGGGCGGAATTCATTACCCACCGCCCCCCACAGTGGGGACTTTGTCTTCAAGATTTAGGCAACTGGTGAAGTTGCTTCTGGAGCAGAAGCGGAGCTGCGGGCTCTAAGACGGCGCCCTGTCACTTCTAAGATTCAGGACCCTGCGGGGGTGTCACACGCGACGCGGCTGACATCCGTCTTCCCCAGTCTGGCTTCACCTGTCGTCGCCCACGCCGCTCTGGAATGGCCAGTCCTCCTGTCTATCTGTGAACTTACCGCACTTCTTTATGGCACCAGGGATACAGCACGGTTCGTCTTCTGGAACTTTCCTCCCCAGCTCGTGGTCTACCATGCGCCCCATCTTCAGTGTTCAAACACGACCTCCTCGAAGCGCCCCCCTCACACCTTCACGACGCAGCACCCTGTCACTATTGCATGTCGCTGCACAATACGTTCTCACGGGTTTGTGACCGGAGGGGCCCTGTCTGTCCCGCTCACGGCTCTATCCCTGACACCCAGGTCGGCAGCAGAACCAGGTGCTCCAGGGCCCTCAGCTGAGTGAGCAGGGGAGTGAACAAAAGACAGTCAACCGGGGGTCCCCAGTGCAGCCCTGAGACCCTTCCAGGAGTCGCGGGCTCCTTTCCCAAAGAGATCTTCCCAGGAAAACAGAGGAGGCCATAACAAAACAAAAAAGTCGGGAAAATTAGTAGAGAGGGAGCTTGGAAATCAGAAACGTGATCTGAAGCCAGCTGTGGGTTCTCTAGCACACGGCCAGTCCGCGGGGCGGGGGGCACATGACCTGCCTCCTCCCACCCCCACCCCGAGCCAGCAGGTTTCAAGACCGGAGTGAGGCGTCTTCCGCCAGCACTGGGTGGGGTCTCAGAAGCGACTCCCTCCCTCGCGCCCACCCCAGAGCCAGCGTCAGCGCGGGGCGGGCCTCAGATCCTCAAGCTTCCCGTCGGACAGACGCCGAAGCCCGAGGTGCAGAGCTCGGCGACTCCCAGGCAGCGGAGCTACTCAGTAACAAGGCCGATGGAGGTCTCGGCCTAGGTCCCCCGGCAGAGGCCCTGTCTGGCACCAGGCTCCTTTAGGCCGACCCAGCCACGGCCCCTGGGCCGAGGCGAGCAAGGAGGAAGGGGCTGGCGCTCTGCGCTCGGCTGCAGCCGCCCTGCTTTCGGCCGCCGCAGGAGCGCGAGGCAGAAACGAATGCAAACGGGCGCCAAGCCCGGCTCCCGGCGGGCATTCACCGCGGCGCCATTCAGTCCGGAGACCCTCGACCGCGCCCCAGAGATCACCCCTCCCGTCCCCCCGCCCCCAGCCACCGCTGAGGTTCCCGAGCCAAGGCCAAGGCGCGCCTACAGGGCGGGGGCGGCGGGCTGGGCCGGGAAGGGAAGCGTGGCCGAGGCCCCGGAGGAGGAGCCAGGCGGGCACCGCAGCCCGCGGGTCCCTTTCCCTTTCTTTGGGAAAAAAGAATCTGGGTTCCGCGTTCTGGGGATGGAAAGAGGCCCTTCTCCCCAGGGGCGCGGGTCTGCCCTTGAGCCCTGGAGCGCGCGCCGCGGCCAAGACCCAGCCCCCATCCCGACCTTCCCCGGGCTCGGCGCCCCAGGGCGGCGGCAGGACTCGCCTGGCCGGGAATGGGGGGCCGCAGCCGGGCCGGGGAGCCCCGCGCCCCGCCGGCCGCGCCGCGCCTACCGGTAGTAGCGGTCATCTCGGAAGGGCGCGAGGTCCTCTCTCAGCTCGTGGAGCGCCTCCTGCAGCCGCTTGCACAGGCGTTTGAGCTCGCCGCAGAGCGGGGGCTCCAGGGCCGGGTACTCGGCGTCCATGCCCGCTTCGCGCCCACGCCTCGCCTCCGCTCGTCGCTCCCCGCTTTGTGCGGCCTCGCTCGCCCCGTCTCCTCCCGGCCCGGGGACCCGGCTGCCGGCGCGCAGGGCGGGCCTGACGGGAAGGAGGAGGAGGAGCAGCAGCAGGTGCGGGAGGTGGGGAGGGGGCGCGCAGGAACGGGCGCCGGGCGCGCTCTGGGCGCCGCCGCGAGCGCGCGGGGAGCCAGGCCCGGCGAGTGGGGCAAGGGTCCCGGTCCTGCCGCCGGCCGCGGGCACCGAGGAGGGGGAGGCACGAGGAGGGGCAGGCGCGGGGGGCAGAAAGCCCAGGGCGCGGCTAGTGCGGGCGGGAGGCAAACGCGGCGTCTGCGTTCAGCACCGCGGACAGCGCCCGCGGAGCCCGGTGCCGCTGGGGCTCTAACCCACTACTGCCGGGCCATAACGATTATTTTGGAAGGATTGTGGAGTCTGTTCGACGAGGCGCGGTTCCCGTGCGCATCGCGGTCACCAACCACGTCCCGGCAAGGGTCACCCCGTGTGCACAGTGAAGACGCACCACTGAGCACGTCTTGCCAGGATCCGGTGTCCTGGGTGTGGTGTGGTCCCTTCCCGGGAAGCAGCTGTTCCCGATGCTGTTGGAGTTTTCCCACCAGAGTAAAGGACGGCTGGAATCCAGAGCGCGGCCCAGGAACTGCTCTGCAGGGCTCCCCAGGCAGGTCTAACGTTCACTTCGGTTATTCTCAGATTTCCCATGTTTCCTGCCAGCTATTGGATGCTCTGACCTCACCCACTCTCCCTTGCTTTTTATCATCACATTTATTTCTTCCCTCCCCTTATATTTTTTTTAAAAAATTATAATTTATTTGAAAGGCAGAGTGACAGCACGTGCGCGCGCGCACACACACACACACACACACACACTCCATCTGCTGCTTTACTCCTAAAATGTCCGCAGTAGCCAGATCTGGGCCAGGCCAAAGCCAGGAGCCTGGAATTCTGTCCTGGTTTCCCATGTGGTGGCAGGCACACTGGTGGGAATCTGGATGGGAAGAGGAGCAACCAGGACTCAAACCAGCACTCTGCTCTGGGTGCCAGTGTTCCAAGTGGTGGCTTAACCCACTGAGCCCGGTGCCAGCCCTCCCTCTGCATTCTGGAGCAGCTTTTTGTCTGCTGTCCTATCAGGCCTTGCATATCCTCCCATAATTTCTCAGCATTGTACACGGTCAGGTTTTGACTCCAATTCATAAAGTCACCATTTGTTTTTCGTCATCTCAAGATGATGTAAAATGGAGCTGAGACTTGTAACACCCAGACTACAGTCAGAAAGAGGTGTGCTAAGAACAGCTCCTCGGAAAGCGCACATGCACATCTGTTTTCCGCTATGAGATGGAGACTGAGAGTCCAGCGTGTGCCATATTTCAAATATCTTATGATCGGCTAGAGAGAGCCTATCAAACACTCACACTCACACCCCTGCTTCCTCAGCTTTCCCAGCCCAGGCTCGCTCTCCCGTTGAAGTACAGTGACCCCTAGGACAATACAAGTCCTGGCTCCAGCGTCGTGGGGCCACTGATTCGCTGTTCTCTCTTCCCCAAACAACCAGAAATGCTATGTGAAATACCACACGCAGGGCTGGGACACTGGAAACCCATGTCAAAGTGCCTGGGATCCAGGAAGGTAGTGGAGGATGGCCCAAATGCTTAGGCCCTGCACCCGTGTGGGAGACCATGAGGAAGCACCTGGCTCCTGGCTTGGGATCGGCACAGCACTGGCCGTAGCAGCAATTTGGGGCATAAACCAAAGGATGGAAGACCTTTCTCTCTAACTCTGCCTGGCAAAAAAAAAAAAAAAAAAAAAAAAAAAAGTGCCTGGGATCAAGCCCATTTTTAAAATGAAAAAAAATTTTTTTTTGCTATTTTGTTTGCATCCCTTACATATCCTGGTATTATCGTCTTGTCAGATGCGTAACTTGCACACATTTCCTACCATTCTGCACTCCGTTGATTGGTTCTTTTGCTGTGCAGCAGCTCTTTAGTCGGGGAAATCCCATTTGTCTATTTTTTTTGTTCCCTGTGCTTTGGCAGGTTCAGATCTAGAAAATTCTTGTCCATGCCAGTGTCCTGATGGCCTTTGCCTGGTGTTTTCTTCTAGTGGTTCAAAGTTGCAGTTCTTAGAGATTTTGTCTTCAATCCGTCTGTCCGTGGCAGAGTCCAGTTTCACTCCTGTGCGTGTGGATACCCAGTTTCCCCAGCACCGCGCATTAAACACTGCCCTTTCTCCACCGCATGTTTAGCAGCACCTCTGCCCAAGACCTGGCTGTGGATGCATGGGCTTACTCCTAGGGTCTCTGCGCCTCTGGTCCAAGGATCTATTTTTATGCCAATAACGTGGTTTTAATTACTATAGCTTTGTGATATACTTTTAAGGAGATTTATTTTAATTTACTTGAAAGGCAGAGAGAGAGAGAGAATCTTTTGTTCACTGGTTCACTCCCCAAATGGCTGCAACTGCTGGGGCCGGGCCAGGCTGAAGCCAGGAGCCAGGAGCTTCCTCCAGGTCTCCCAGGTGGGTGCAGGGACCCAAGCACTTGGGGCATCCTAAACTGCTTTCCCAGGTGCATTAGCAGGGAGCTGGATCAGAAGTGGAGCAGATAGGACCCATATGGGAAGCTGGTGCTGCAGGCCGGGGCTTTAACCCACTAGGCCACAGCACCAGCTCCTTTGTCATGTTTCACAGTCAAGTAGTATAATGCCTCCTCGCTTTGGTATTTTTGCTCAAGAGTGCCTTGGCTATTTGGGGTCATTGGACTTGATTTTTCCTTTTGTTTGTCTCCCAACCTTTTATGTTAGTATTCTTTCTAGAGTCAGTGAACTGGGGGAGTGCTCCTCTGTAAGAGTGGTGCACTGAAATGCTCGGGAGCCCTGGCTGTGTGTGAATGAGGGGTGGGTGGTTGACCGCGACCTTTGTCATACATAACATGAGCGAGCTATTTGTGGGCATACCCCGCTACCGACACTGTCGCGTCGGTCCCCTGGCTGCTGCACATGGGCGTCTGTTTGCCCTGTGACTGCGCCATCCCTCCTATCGGGAGATGGGCTCTCGAATCGGGGCTTGAGTGGGACCTTGCTAGACAAGTGAAATGCGCTGGGAGGCGCTCTGTGTGTCCTCTGTGCCTAGGCTTACGAAGCACTGCACTGTCCTGAGACTCCTGAAAGTCAGCCTCTGTGGGAGGAAATCTGGATCTTCCTGATCCAGCTTGACCACATGGAGAGAGACCCTGAGGATGACAGGCTGTGTGGAGACTGGAGGAGGCTGTGGCCAACTGTCGGCCCAACCACTGGACACGCGAGCACGCCAGCTCGCGGGGGTGACACCAACAGAGAATGCAGGGAGCAGAAAAAAATGCCCACCCACGCCCAGCACCCCAACAGAATCATGATGTCACTGATACTTTGGGCGAAATCTGGGACGATCTACTTCGCCACGACAGGGAAGTGACACAGTGGTCCGGTTCCGTCAGGGACACCCACTTCTCACTGGAGGCTGAAGGTATGGCTTCAGCACTCTGAGAGTAGAATGGAGGCAGAGGGCCAGGAGCTGCTGGGTCGCGCAACACCCAAAAGTGCTCGGCTTAGAAGTTAAGGCTCATTCGCAACTTGTGCACATATTCATCCACGTGACCCCTGCCACAGGAGCTCACGGGCGAGTTCCTGCCCCAGAAGCTCTGCCTTGCCCCTTTCCAGGTGTCCCCTTCCAGTCACAACCACCACCCTGGCGTCTGTCACTCAAGTGTGTTACTATTTTTCTATTTTTTAAGATGCATTTTTTTTTATTTATTTGAGAGTTATAGAGAGAGGGAGAGATAGAGACAGTGTGATCTTCCATTTGCTGGTTCACTCCCCAAATGGTTGCAATGGCTAGGGCTAGGCCAGGTGGAAGCCAGGAGCCAAGAGCCTCTTCTGGGTCTCCTATGTGGCCCAAGCACTCGGGCCATCTTCTACTGCTTTCCCAGGCGTATCAGCAGGAGCTGGATCAGAAGTGGAGCAGCCGGGATTTGAACCAGTGCTCATAGGAGATGCTGGCACTGCATATGCCACAGCGCTGGTCCCCACTCCCTAACGTTTTACACAACAGGAACCACATCACATCAACTATTTGGAATCCTGCTTTTTCACCTAAGAACTTAAGTGACACATCACCCTAGGGAAAAACCATTAAAAATATCCATTTATTTGACAGGTGGTAGGGAGAGGGAAGGGGAAGGCGGATGATGGACAGACTTCTAGTGCCCCTCCCGCCAGGGTATGAAGTCCCAGAGGGTAGGAACTGAGTCTCACTCAGTTTTAGCACCCAAGATTGTTTGGGACGTAATGAGGATTTAATTTGATGTCCATCAAGATTAAGATCAATGAAAGTGCTGCACTTCTGCCCCAGTGTTTGTTTAAGGAATCAAGATTATGTCGATGAGGTCTTGAAAAATACATGAGGCCAGCTACTCTTTATGAGACTGAGGGAAATCCATTGCTCACCTAAACGAAAACAAACAGAATGCAGTGTGTGAGCGCTACTTGAAAACGTTTATGGGAAAACAGGATTAAAAGGTGCTTATTTGGGAGCACTTTTTTTTTTTGAAACCCATGCAGAGTTTTTGAAAAAACACATTTTCTGTGAACCTTGGGAAAGATGTCTCATATTTTTGATACAACTTTTAAAGTCGTTGGTAGCATAAAAGAAGAAATAGGGCACATGTTTAGCTTGGCAGTCAAGGCCCCCACAATCCTACGCTGGAGTACCTGGGGTGGGTCCCCGGCTCCTGCTCCTGATTCCAGCTTCCGGGAGGCAGTGGTGATGGCTGGAGTCGCTGGGTTCCTACCCACCACCCGAGAGTCCTGGATGGAGGTCCCAGCTTCCAGGTAAGGCCCAGACCAGTCCCAGCCATTTCAGGGAGTGAACCAGTGGGAGCTCTTTCTCTCTCCATCTCAAGTCGTTTTTAAAGATACAACTGAAAATCCATCCTTTGAATTTCTCTTTGAAACACACATTCACGTCATGTACAGGAGCTCTGACGTTTTCTAGTGTGTTTCTTTGCCGATTAAATGGCATTATTCCTTCTGGGA